AAAATAAAAGATAAAATTAATTTTTCTTCAGAATTTAATTAATTAGAGCGTTTTGGTAACCTCAGGTGATAAAGATTATCGACGATCAATCCGTAGATTTTAGTACGTATATTTTAAACAAAGATAAGTTTTATAAGCGATTGTTTCGAAAAAGATAAATGAAAGACAACTATATGATTAAGAATCAAAACAACATTATTCATACGTTCCGGAGTCTGATTCACCGATTCCGCAACAATTACCTTATCAAAGTATTCAAGGGAACTATTGATTGAAAAATCTAAATTTTTATCACGCTGTGATGTTTTACTTCGAATTAATTTTTGTTTTTTTTCTAAAAATCCATTAAGTAATGTATAACACATTCAAAAATGTCATTTGTGCGTTTAACTGTTGTATAAAATTCTCCAAAAACTAACAAAAAGATGATTAGCATGATTGCAATTATGTCTTAATGAAATACCAAACTGTTTTTTAAATACATGTATTAAAATTAACATTTTAAAAAAAATTATGAATAGCAACGATCGAAATGATCCATCCAAACCGATAAGAGAAAAAAAAAATTCTAATCGAGCCGATTTTTTCTCTGCATATGTCTCAGATAACGCTCTGGCAGCACCCGCGTTTCCACGCGTACTTCCCGGCGGGCAACTCGTTTCCCTCGATCCTCGGCGACATGCTGTCCGATGCCATAGGATGCATCGGATTCTCTTGGGTAAGTTGATCGAGAGGCGTCGCCTGTGGCTCCTCAATTGCTTTTTTTTTTTTTTTTTTTTTTTTAATTTCTTACCGATAGCGCTCGATGAATCGTTAATATTTCAACCATGGATTTTTCGAGTCAGGCATTACCATGTGTTTCAATTTAACAAACTAGTTTGGAGTATGCCAACCTTAGGAATTATACTTGGATAGGGCATGGGTTCTGCAGTGCAGAAATGAGCATAAGAGCGAATTTTGTAAAACTCGTTTCAAGCGGATCAAATTTAAATGTCTCTAATCCACGTATGCAAGTTGAAATGCGTATGAAACGCAGCTTAAAATATTTGATGAAATTTCGCATGTGAACAATGATCTAGAACTTTTTTTTTTTTTTTTTTTTACTTTATACATCTACGAAGATGTATCCATGTGTGGACGAAAGTAACACATAAATCAAGCCAACTGCCCTTTGTGGGAGGGAAATGAAATACCGTCACGATCTTTATAACGTCACGTGGAATCTCATGTACCATTTTTGTCAAAAGAATTTGGAAATATTATTGAAGAAAAAAGATCCGAACCCTCTATATCCGTCCAATTTTATCAAATGTGGATTATTGCCGATGGCTCGGTGCCCTATGAATAGTTTCATTGATGTTACAAAAAAATACTTTTCACGAAAGAAATTATTTAAAAGAACTTCCTTATCATTTTTCATTAATTATTGTTTGGTTAAAACGTTTTGTCAACACTTGCCAATATATGAAGGATTTTCGATTTACGAAAAAAAACATTAATCAATTATAGAAAGATGATTATGAATTGTAAAAAAATAGTAAAGAAGGGATTTTTCTGCATAAATGAATCGCTAATTCTATGCAACGTGTAATACGTCTATTAATAAAATTTCATGTCATATTAATGCTATAGAATGCATAAAAAATAAATTAGCTAGTTTTGTAATACTGTTCAACGAAAAAAAGTTTCAATTCATGCAATCCATTAATGATCGCAAAATTTCACAGTCACACGATAATAAAACGATCACTCATTGAAATTAACTGGTGTTAATTAAATTATGATCCATCGTATGTTTTTAAAACGGTTCGACATCTAATTTACTACTCAAGACATAATTTTTCATTTTCGAATAAACTACTCTTTGTCGCGATCCAAGAACAACGAAAGTTCTTAATGATCAGTTGGCGATTTTTATATAGACATAATAAATTGTAATTAACTCCACGGGTTCATGACTTACACGTATAAACTTATCAATGACTATTTGCCCGTAAAATCAATTTAAGATTTGCCTCGACAAATCAATGAAAAAAAAAAAAAAAAAAAAAAAAGACTTCCATGCACCACACTTTCAAAACACCTGGTATAAACATTAATATTCAACGTTTCAGGCAGCCTCGCCGGCCTGCACCGAGCTGGAGACGATAGTCCTCGACTGGCTGGGTAAGCCTGATTTTTCCCATCACTATCACCATCGTCATGAATTTTTAACCAAAGCAGCGCTGCAACGAGCGGCAACTGCATCATCCCGAGCCCCCTCCCTCCCGGAGCGCGACACGTCCTCATAAACCAAAAGAATGTTTTAATGAAGGACCAAAGGAGTCGTTAAAACTATTTACGATTGCGCTGCCGGCTTTCCTCCCACTTGTTTGCATATGCGTATATTCATCGAAAATAAATGAGAGTGCGAAAGGTCAAGGTGTGGGACTCGACAGCTGATAATATTGTGCACTCGTGGCTTGAGTTTTTTTTATTTTTTATTTTTTTTAATGCACGTCTCTGATATTTCGATCCAACAGTCTTGTGTCATTTAGAGATTAATGCAGTTCACTGGGGACGATGCAATAATAAAAACTTTAATCTATACGCCGTGAAAGTCTCGATTGAAACTTCCCTTTTATCGGTATATTTATGTAGTATGGCCAAAGGCACAATTTTCTACTCAACTCGACTTACTTGTAGGTACGCCGTAGAAATGAGGTTTCGTTAATGCTAATTGAAAAATGGATGACAGCAAAATCATGATAGGCCACAACATTTTTTTTTTACATTTATAGTGTTTGTTTTTCATTGAAATGAAGTGTTTTTTATCAGTTTTTTTTATGCTTTCGCAGTGATAAATATTGTTATGTATGCCATGACTAAAGTTTCACTTTGTCATACAAGAGGCTTTGTATGGGTCGACAATAATATTGAAAATGTTTTTTGTGGTGTGTAGGTGATTACGTTATTTACGACAAATTTATCTTTGCGTGTATAATCAGTCAGATCTTGGGAACCTCTAAATCAATTATGGGGCTTAAAATTTTCATTTTTTATTTTTGCAGCGACTCAGTATATTAAACGTATTTTTTCACCTTGTTAAAGTTATCGTAAGAATTTTTTGATTTTCAAAAAAACGGTTATTTGCGATTTTAATGGTAAAAAAGATATTTANTTTTTTTTTTTTTTTTTTTTTTTTTTTTTTTTTTTTTTTTTTCTTTATACAGATTACTACTAAACAACAATTTTCCTTCGAAAAGTTGTGCGATTGGTATTGAAATGAAATTTATATTATGGAGTATTTAAACAAATACTTACATACTTGTTTTTATCTATCTAAATTCAAACCTGTGAAAAATAAATGAATGGATTACAGTGCTTTTCATTGAATTTAATTGAGATAGTACTTTACTCTTTTTGTTAAAAATTTTGTTTGTTCATTAAAATTCGATGCACTTTTTTCATGAATAGTAATAAAATGAAAAATGATACATTAAGTTGAAAAAAAAAAATTAGACTAATTAATTACCCTAAGCGGTTAAAAGCGTCTACAAGTATCTGCAACCTTCATAATCGTGCAAAAAAAAAAAAAAAAAAAAAGAACCAACTCGGATATGTTTGTACCAGGTTTCGTCATTTGGACACAATGGTCCGCCTAAAGACGGGCGGGACCAACAGCCGCCGAGGTAGCAGTAACGGATGCAGCCCCGAGCCATCGCCCTCTGTCTCTCCGTCCCGAGCCAGGTCCCCAAATGGACGAGCTTAATCAACTTCAAACATGCCACGTACATGTACACGCGCACACTTCACATCCTACACACAAGTACCTATACACGAGGATACATCTCTAGCGGATATTCGACGAGTTCATAAGTCACTACTAGCACTGCTCACAGGCAGTAATCAGAACCCGAACCTCCTGCACTTTTGGTGTTGAATTGGAACAGGGACAAACCGAAAATGCAGTAGTTTTGTTTATTTAAAAAAAAAAAAAGCTTATATTTGTCGTCACAGTTAGTCAACTTACGTTAAAATATATGGTGTATCATAAAAATTAACGTTATTTAACGTAAACCTCATCTATTTAACATTAACCCTAACACTAATGGCGTCTCAAAACTGTACGTCTGCAAGATATTGTAAATCGTGATAAAACCCAAATATATTTAGAAAATTTTAATCAACGTGTAATGTAAAATCTAATCAACAAAAGTGACATGTAACCATTCATATGTATGAGCGAAAAATGTAGCACAATTTTTAAACGATGTTGAATAACGTTTTTGGTCAAATAAAACGTTTTTGCTGAGATTTTTACCTGATCTTGTTGTAAAAAAAAAAAAAAAAAAAAAAAAAAAAAAAAAAAAAAAAAAATCCAACAGGGCTCGGCATCGGAGTGCGTATTGGTGTGCATGTTGGCAGCCCGCGCGCAGGCCATAGCCCGGCTGAAAGAGTCCCCAGCTCACGCGCACCTCGACGAGACGGCACTGCTGGGAAAACTCATGGCCTACTGCAGCAGAGAGAGCCACAGCTGCGTCGAAAAAGACGCGATGATTTGCTTCGTGAAGCTCCGCATCCTGGAACCCGATGAACGGAGCGTCCTTCGTGGCGCTACTTTGCAACAGGTGACCATTGCATTGGCCAATGATGATTTTAATTTTTGCACCAAAGGATGGACTATTTTTTTTTTTTTTTTTTTTGCAAAGGCCATCGAAGCTGACGTGACCGCGGGCTACGTTCCCTTCTTCGTGTCCACGACCCTGGGCACGACCGCCTGCTGCTCGTTCGACAACCTCCAGGAGATCGGGCCGGTCTGCAAAAAGTACCCAGGGGTGAGTTAACCCAATTATCGGAATTAAAAACGAGTACGGTGGCGGCTGAGGGTTTTTCCCTCTTCTTCGCCGGCGGGTCGGACAAAATATTTACTCGCGGGAAAAAACTTTTGCCTCGAGTGCCAAGTTACTTGTGTCGACAAGAGGAGTAGGTAGGTATTCCCTGTCCTGTAGTGCAAGCCAAAAGTTTTCTGGCAATAGTTATCTCGAGAAAACATTGAGCGCACACTCGGTCGGGACAATCAAAAACCCATTTCGTCGAATTTCCCGTGCGAGGATGGGCAAAGTAGCCATTAATGCTCGATGAAAAAGGGGAAAGGGGGAAAGAGATCAAGAGACAGGATGGAGCTGAGAGTCCGTCTTTGTTTTTGTTTTTCATCAGGTCTGGCTTCACGTGGACGCCGCCTACGCGGGGAACTCCTTCATTTGTCCGGAGCTGAAGTACCTGATGGCTGGGATAGAGTACGCGGACTCGTTCAACACCAACACGAACAAGTTTTTGCTGACCAACTTCGATTGCTCCTGTCTGTGGGTGCGCGACAGGTTCAAGTTGACCAGCGCTCTGGTCGTAGATCCGCTATACCTGCAGCACACGCACGCCGACACGGCTATCGATTACAGGTTTTTTTTTTTTTTTTTTTTTTAAATTTAAGAAAAAATAAATTCATTAAAATGATCAATTTTTACAAGGCATTGGAGTATCCCCCTGAGTCGGCGATTCCGGTCGCTCAAGTTGTGGTTTGTCATGAGAAACTACGGCATCTCGGGCTTACAGGCCTACATTCGTAATCACGTGCAGCTTGCCAAGCGTTTTGAGCTGTACATCAGAAAGGACTCGAGGTTCGAGCTCTGCAACGAGGTGGTGGTAAGTTACCAGCGAACGTGCCTATCTGTACTGTACGTTTTTTAATATTTTATTTTTTTGACTGATGAAGTTTAGTCAATTTTTTTGCGAACGAATATAAAAAAAGTAGATTTTATCACATACGAATTTTTTTGGCTATCAGTCCAAAATTTGGTGAAAATTCACGCGCGTAATTAAATGGGATAGGCTTTTTTTTTTTTTTTTTTTGTGAATGTTTTTGTGAATTAAAATTTTTTATCAAAGAAAACGATTTTTTGTGGTTTTTTATTTTTTCTAAATTCATTGATTTTATGTGAAAAGTTAGCAGTCTCATTTTTTTCTAATGCACTTTTTTTTTGTTAAAATAATGATGTCTACATCAAATAAACGGAAAGAAACATTTAATTGAAAAAAGTAACTTATCTTTTTGTGTCACTTCACTCCCTAAAACTGGGATAAAAATTTATAGAAGCTGTATAGTTTCGGAAGTATACTCAATTTTCATACCTCAAGTTATATTTCAGGTTATGTAACTATTTTTATTAAAAAAAATAGAAAAATTTCAATGATTAAGTCACAGATAGTACTCTTACAGAAGAGTTACACTACCTCACTTGACCGACTCACATATTGTAATCGATACCTACATTTCAAGTGCATACTTTTTCCCCTGTACGAATTAGGCCGCAGCTCTCCCCTGCATGTAAAACCTGCACTCGATACGAAATCATAATATTAACCCCTTGTCCAAAGTTAGGTTTGGTCTGTTTTCGGGCCAAGGGATCCGACAAATTGAATCAAAAGCTTTTGAGTGCCATCAACGATTCCGGCAAAATACACATGGTCCCCGCTAAGGTCAATCAAAAGTACACAATACGTTTTGCCCTCGCCGCGCCAAATGCAACGGCCGAAGATGTCGGTAAGATTGACGATTTGATATTGACCTTACACGAATTAAATGTTGGATACGCTTGGCTAGTTAGTTGGATAATTATTGTTACGGCTATGTTTCATAATTCAACTTTTATATCACACTACTTTGAGAGATAAAAATGTTTGCTTACATTTTTTTTGCCCATTCATTCTTTATAAACGAATGAGATATTTGTAATTTTTTAAAATGTTGTTTGAACACCATAATATGAATAAATAGTTAGTTAACAAATGTTTTTTTTTCTTTTTTTTAAAATAATAATAAGTACAAGATATATTAGGCACATTATCAAGTCATGTATACCTTAAAGTGTTATTTCATTTTATAAAATTTTCAATTAATTACAGTTTTTGATTAACAGTTTTTTTACAAGTAAATAAATGAATATCATCACTCTGAATCATTGACTTTTCATTTCTAATATGAAAAAAAAAATTCCAGACATCGCGTGGAGCATCATAACAGACTTCCTGTCAGAAATTTTGGAGTCCAAGGTGATTATTTCATTTTGAAAAATTTGTATTCGTTCTCCTTGTTGTAATAATTATTTAATAAAATAAAATAAAAAAATTTTTTTTTTATTCCCAGGACGTTATGGACGAGCTCGCGGACATCCGGGAGAAGAAGAGGAAAGCGACCCTCGAGCAACGACGCTCGTACTTTGTTCGCATGGTGTCCGATCCCGCGATTCAGCCT